TAATATTAATCACTAAAATGTTCAAATCACTATAGATCATTAATTAGCTCTCTTGATTTTGATACGTCAAAATGTTCAGAAAAATAATTATCTAACTAATTTCYAATAGTTAAGTCATCGTTTGAAAAGTAGGAGTTAGTAACACTATAACACGCTTAATGATTATTAGTACAAAATAACTCAAGAATATGAAAATTCCAAAAATCTGATTTTGAATAATAGAATTGAAGAGAAAAAAAAGGTGGTGAGCATGCTCGGCGAATCACTCTGTATACGATATAAATGTGTTCAAAAGTGTGTGTGTGTGTGTGCACAAGTTGATTTAAAATTAATGACGTGATTTCGCTTGCGGTCTATGTGTACACACAATGTCTACCATGATAATTGATGGATATACCTCTGCATGTAGGTAATAGTATATCAAATAGTCACAGCATTTTCCCGAAAAAGCATTTGTCATAGAAAGCCTGAAGTCTTATCTAAAATATAGCTACACTTTGTGCAGACGGCCAAGTACAACTGCAATACGATATAATAATATTGTATACCTAAACAGACATGGGTGCCAATTGGGAGGKGGTGGGCACGACGGGGCACTTGCCCTCCCTGGACAAATTATGCGAACTTATAATTTAATAAATATTAGTATGATATTGACAACATAAAATAAAATGTTTGACTTTTAGGATATGAAATAGGTTCTTATGTATGACGAGCGTTCATTGTAAAAAATGAACTTGAACATAAGAAGTTTAATTCAATATGTCATTAATATTTTTGATGAACCAAAGAATTTGTAGTTTGTATTTGCCGATACCGAATTATATATTTCATTATGTTTTCTATATTTTGAATAATAAAATKTAATAATAATGTTATATATCATAAAATTATTGATATTATAAATAATTAAATAATAGCACATCATTTATATTTATATGTTTAAATTATATTAAATCTTTATTTAGTTTAAATTTGAGAATTTTGTTAGGAATTCTCAAATTTAAGCTAAAAATGAAAAGTTACTTACGGGCACCTATGTAAACAKATGTGTAATTTTTAATTCATGTTTAATATTATTACTATGCTTGTTTATTAAAGTATCACATAACAGTGAAGCGACTAGAAATTTCTCTAGGGTATAAGAGTACCTACCAAAGGCCTATCGCTACGACACAAGCAAGTCATGTGTTGCTTGAAGGTGGTATACATTTTAATTTTTAAAGAAATAGAAAACAGCAAAATTAAATAAATARGTATTGATAAAGAATAGCGATATTAAAATTCTAGCCTTAGGTTGGAAAATATCTAATGACGACGGATCTGGATAGGTACATGCCGGTGTATAATGTTATTCGCATTAAATAGTATTTTAGYCAGATAAATGGTGATTAAATGTATCCCTAAATATGTATATATACACAGTATTCGTTTATGACTCAAATAGGATRAATTAACGGGCTCTATTGAATTGGCTMCCAATTTTGGGTAAATATGAATTCGACCCTTGAATTGGCTATTGAAAAATATATTTTTGAATTGACTCCTTAAACTGCAAAATATTATTATTTAACYAGGGGTTCTAATATTATACGCGTTTACTTTTATGACGTAAACCTAATCTAGCGTGGAAATTTGCACTCRAATATAATATAGCGCAGGATAACTTTATATTATTATATTTATACCTATACATATTTATTGAATTACATAATAACATAATGAACTTYAATAATACTCAATAGTATACATAAGAATATATTTAAAATTTAATAAATTACTATTGTAATATTATTCTACATTACATCTAGTATATACTTTTATAAAAATGTGCTATACCTACTACTCTAGGACATAATGTCTATCTAACTTTAAAATGTTAACATTTTTGTAACCAATATATTTAAAAAAAAAAAAATAGTTTGGAACCAATTCAATAGTAATTTCTTGGGAGCCAATTAAATTGCGCCAAATATTAACAATATAAGTCTTAATGTCAGACACCATCTATACAGCCATCACCTTTCTGTCCAAGTGCCTATATTTCTATATCATAATATTATAGTGTAAACAGTTGAACAAGTCAACGTTAAAATCATTAACTAATAATGCATGTACCGCAAGATATTGTCGACGAATTTGATACGTTTTCCATTAACACATTAATCCGTAATGTAACTATACATGTTTCTATCCTATCAAGGGCGAATTAAAAAAATCATTGTTCTAAACATTCGTGTACGTGCACTTTTATGGGTTTTTAATTAATTACGTATTATATTTTATCATCACATCGTCTATAGAACCGTATCATGGACGTTGATCGAATATAACTACATAACATAGTATGTCATAGTACATGACATAGTATTTATAGCAAGGCTTTGCACCCGTTTAGCCCGTATAGCCAAAACCCTTAAAAAACCCTTAAAAATGATAAAACCATAGACCCATATAACCCGAAACACCCAAAACCGAAATTAAATTCGGGTTTTAACCCATAACCCGTATAAAAAAAAATGTGAAAACGAATTCAGTTTTTCATAATTGCAGGGAACACTGGTTACATGTAACAAACAAACATAGATCTATTGTTTTGATTATTTTGAATTGAATTGTGTTATTTTTAAACTTTTTATATAATATTACTTATTATTATGTCCGTACTCCGTAGTGAAAATTGTTTTGTGTACGTACTTTTCTACTTCATTTATATTAAAATAATTTTAAATTTTAAAATGCCTAGAAAAAAATTTAGTGGTGTAAATCAATTTTTAAACTA